TATATTGTTAATTTTTTTGTTTTCAATATTTGAAAACTTCGAGTGATTTTGTAAAATATAGGATCTGCCCCATTTACTCTCCATCCAAGGAAAGAATTAGTAATATTAACATTACTAATATTTTTAAAATGAAAATTTATGTTTATAAATTGCTTTCACTTCAAACAAAAATTACATGAAAACTACTTCCCCTCCCTCTCTAAACAAAATTGTACTTTTCTTTATGTAAATATCTATTTTTCTAGAACAGATTTCATTAATGAAAAAACTTCTTTTATTAAGAAAAAAATCTCCTTCATAAAGAGGAAGCATTATAATGCTGCGACAGAAATCGGTGAATTTGTGACAGAAAACTCATATTGTGGGGTATTGTGTTGGTATCGAAAAAGTGGATAAATCTTGTTCCTGTGTGTAGTAAATTACTTCCTCTAAAACATTGTGTTGTCAGAATCCACCTTTTGTGGTTCTGTATACCAGAAAATTGGATAAAGGCAAAACGTCTGTGTGTCTGTCCGTTTTTCTGTAGTCAACACTAGTATCTGAACAGTTACAAGTCTAAAATTGATATTCTCAAATCGATTTACACGAACTAAAGGCCCTGCGAGTTTGAAACACATTTATTGATTTTCTGAGGTACTTTACATGAAGCCTCAACCACATCATCAAAACTTTCTCAAAAATTTCTCCAGATATTTTTCTTCTTTTCTTCTTCTTCTTCTTCTTCTTCTTCTTCTTCTTCTTCTTCTTCTTCTTCTCTTCTTTCTTCTCCTGTGGTTCTTCTTCTCCTCTCGTTCTTCTCGTCCTTTTCTTCTTCTTCTTCTTCTACTCGTTTCTTTTAGCTCGTCTTTTCTTCTCTGTCCTCTTCTCGTCTTCTTTTCTCGTCTTCTTCTCGTCCTTCTCTCTCGCCTTCTTCTGTTCTCTTCTTCTTCTGTCTCTTCTCTTCTCGTCCTTCTTTCTTCTCGTCTCGTCCTCGTCTCTCTTCTCGTCCTTCTTCTTCTCGTCCGTCTCTCGTCTACTTCTTCTTCTCGTCTCTTTCTTCTTCTCGTCCTTTTTCTTCTTCTCGTCTTCTTCGTTCTCTCTGCGCTGCGTTCTTCTTCTCGTCGCTTCTCTTCTGGTCCTCTCTTCTTCTCGTCCTTCTCTCTTCTCTCAGCCTTGCTCGTCTTCGTCTGTCTCTTCTGCGTCCTTCTTCTGCGTCTTTCTCGTTCCTCGTCCTCTTCTCTGTCCTTCCTTCCTCGCTGCTCTCTCCTTCTCCTTCCTCGTCCTCTTCTTCTTCTCTTCTTCTTCTCGTCCTCTTCTCATCCTCCTTCTGTCTCCTTCTTCTTCTCGTCCTCTTCTTCGTTCTTTTCTCTTCTTCTTCTTTTCTGCTCTTCTTTCTTCTTCTCGTCCTTCTTCTTCTCGTCCTTCTTCTTCTTCTCTCCTTCTCTTCTCTGCTCTTCTTCTTCTTTTCTGTCTCTTCTCTTCTTCTTCTGTTCGTCTTCTCTTCCTTTCTCGTTGTCTTCCCTCTTCTCTCCGTTCGTCGTTCTTTCTCTCCTTCTTCTCGTTTCTTCCTTTGTTCGTCTTTTCCTCCTTCTCGTTCCTTATTTCTTCGTTTCGTCTTCGTTTCTTCTCCTTGTCTCGTTCGTTTTTTTGCTGTCGTCTTTTCTCGTTCGTCTTTTTTCTTCTCCTTTTCGCGTTCGTCTTTTTCTTCCTCCTTTTCTCGTTCGTCTTTTTCTTCCTCCTTTTCTCGTTCGTCTTCTTCTTCCTCCTTTTCTCATTCTCCATCCTCTTCTTCATGTTCTTCTATGTAGGTTGAACATCTGTTTTTCTTCATGCTTCATCCCAGGGATTCACTCACATCTCTCCATCTTTTCTGCGGCCTTCCAGGGTTTCTCCTTCCTGACGGTATCATATCTTTGGCTATCTTCACCAGTCTGTCACGTTCAGTCGTATATGGTTGGTTATTCCATTCTTTTTTCCTTATTTTAACAAATTTGGTAATATTAGTTATTTTTCACTGTTTTCTTACATCCTTTCAATTTCTTACCTTGGTCTTTCCTACTATTGATCGCAGTGTGTTCATTTCTACTGACCAGTGTAGTTCTTTTGTTTTCTATGTATCAGCTCAAATTTCAGCTCCATGTATCAAAATTGGTCTTACCACTGCCTTGTAGATTTTAACTTTACCTTCTATGCTAAGGAATTTATTTGTTCAAGTTACATCTGTTACGTATCCTGATACATAAGCACCTTTCATGGCTTGTTCCCTCGCTTCTTTGCATGTATGGTGATCACTGGAGATGTTCACTCCCAAGTATTGCAACGTCATCAGTTGATGACTTTGCCTTCTATTTCTAACTTTCATTTTACATGCTCCGTGGGTATTACCATCGATTTGGGTTTTCTGTTGAAACAATCATATTAAATAATTTTTCTGTAATTATGAATTTATACAATAGTCTCTGCAGGTATTTAGATTCTGCTATAAGCACTGAGACATCTGCGTAACAGACAATGTTTATCTGGTTTTACCCTTCATGTAGCCGTCCATTGTATTTACACTGTCAATTATTTTATCCATTATCAAGTTGAAGATAACTAGACTTGACGAGTCGCCCTGGCGTGTTCCACCCGCACATTCTATTTAATCTGTTGTTGGGTCTCCTACTTTTATTTTAGTTTTGACGTCTGCGTAAATAGCTTCTATTGTTTCTGTCTGTTTTTTAGGCACTAGTTTGTTTCTAAAAATTGTGATCACGTCTCTTAGCCTTACTCTACCAAATGCCTTCTGGAGGTATACAAAACACTATAAGGCAGTCTTGTTATATTCAATTGCTTTCTCGACTATTGGACAGACTGTAAATATAGCGCCTGTTGTTGATCTGTTTGTGTGGTATCCTTGTTGTTCTTCATTGATTTTGAAGTATGGTTGCAATTTTTCCAGTATTATTTCCTTTAGTAATTTTAATATCATACTAAGTAAAATTATATCTGTGTGGTTGTTAGGGTCATTTCTCTTCCCTTTTTTAAAGATTGGTAACGTAATACTGATTTTCCAATCTCATGGTACATCTCCGAGTTCTAATATTTTATTAAATAATACTTTCAGCTGTTCTTTTAATCTCCTGCCTCTGTACTTCAACATCTTCTTATGTATTTTATCTTGACCTGGAGCTTTCCTATTCTTTAAGGTTTTCATTGCCATTTCATCGCCATTCTCTGTAATTTCAACTACATCATCCCTGTTGTCATCCCTATTTAGATTTGGATTTTCTTGGATTTCTTTCTTAGTCTCTTGACATAACTGTTGAAAATAGTTTTCCTATGAGGACATTTCAATCGTATATATATTTTTACAACTTCATTTATTTCAGCTTTTCTATTCCTTACCATCTTCCAAACTTTCTTTTGAGAGCACCAAATATGTCTTTCTCCATATCCTTTGTGAACTTTTCCCACTGTGCCTCCTTCGGGTCTCTTATTTTCTTACTTGCTTTGTTCCTTGCAGTAACATACAGTTGACGATCGTGTGATAATTTGGTTGTTTTATAGCGTAGAAATGCTCTTTTCTTTTCCTCAGTAATGTATTTAACTTCATTAATAAACCAGGATGTCTTGTATTTATTTTTAGTTCTCCCTCTTATGTTCCTTTCTCGCATACTTCTTTTACTTTGTGCAGCGTAAAGGATGCTTCAAAAAATTGTGAACTTCTCATTTTATTGAAATCTTAGATTTTTTGAAAATTAAACAAGTTGAATTTTTTGTCTTCTTACAACTACACACTAAATTCCTGAGATTAGAAAAGATTTTTCCTTATTAAAATATGTTCTTCAAAGGCAGATGTTGAAATAATGTTAAATACAATTTTTTGAAAATATGAGTAATTATCACTTAATTCTGGTTGAAATATACATGCAACTTTTAAACCTTTAAGCAATTATTTTCTTAAAAAGGGCACCAAATTTTTTTCTTTAAATTTTTGCATGGAAACCACAAATTATGCTGGAAAAAAAGTAATGCAGATCTTGTTTTTGGCAATTCTCTGTATTTTTGAAAATTGCCAAAATAAATTCACATTGTAAAACTACAATATTAATGATAAGAGATTCATTCTTTCTTCTTCTTCTTCTTCTTTTTTATATATATATATATATATATATATATATATATATATATATATATATATATATATATATATATATAATCTAGTTATTGAAGTAATGTAATTGAAAAACTTTGTATTTTGGCAAATTCAAATTCTCGACATCTTTTTAAGCATTGGGAAGGTTGAGTAGTGGCTGAGAGTGGCTACTGGTGTAGTAGTAATATGACTGGCATGTTAACTCTTAAGAATTTGGGTTTGTATCCCAGAGCGGAGAAAAATGTTTATTGATTGGAAACACTTTTGCAGATTCATGTAGTATATTATGTACTCACTACAAATAATGTGAGAAAGTTTGTGCTGTTGTTGCTCCTAGTTTAATATTAATTTAGTAGATAATTACTTACAAGTTAGTGTATGAATGTGTGTATATGTGTGTGTGTACATATAAACCGCCTATATAAAAGTATTGGTCGTTAATAAAAATAATAGAACTATATTCTTGTATAAAATAAATTATACACCGTATGAAACCAACTAATATTGTGTGAAAAGGCCTATTGAGAAGTGCCCTATCTTCCTCATTTTTATGCTGCATCAAATTGGATAACTTTTTTTTCTCGTCTTCTAAAAACAGCATAGAATTTAATTTAATATTACTCATAATTTTCTGAAAAAATACCCTGTGTAACATGTTCTGGATGGTAGCTGCATGTATCAGTAGTCAGACTTTTTTCAAATTTAATTTTATCTTTTGTCCATGCTTAAAGTTTTCTTTTACAATAGAATGTATTGAGGATTGCAAGAAGGAGAACCAAATGAAAACTGGAAAATATTTGAAATGTTGAAATGCATAGAATACATAGGATATCAGTGTTATATTGAGAACAGGAAAAAACATTTGAAAACCTTTTTGTTTCAGTCTAAGAAAACAGAAGTAGTTGACACTTTACAGTACTTATGTTCGAATGATGTGGACATACCCATAGAAGGTATAATTCATACGGGTATGCAGAATGAAAGAGGAGGTTATGAAAATGATTGCAGTTTGGCGAGATTGGCTGAAAATCAGTAAGCTTATGTTTCTACAAATGTACAATTAATGTTGGAACGTACTTTGAAAATAACAATTTTCCAGTTATATTTCAGAAATGTTTACTTTTAAAAACCTTTTGAAGAATGTTTATTGACTCTGTGTCTCTTATTTGCATAAAATTGTCTTTTACAATTGACATTGTGATGTAATAATTGTGTGATATTGATTTTGGTTTTAATAATGATATTTATTCTTGGTTACATTCCAGTTACATGATGATAGCACCAACAATCCAGCAAAATCGCTGTAAATCTTGGATTCAAAGACATCTCCCATCTGATGGATCGGTAGTTATGACTGATATAACATCCATGTACACAGCAATATGTGTAATGGGCCCTTTTACAAAACAACTTCTTTCAGAACTTACCGATACGGATTTAAGTCCTTCTTCATTTCCATTCTTCACATTTAAGGTTTGTTATTGACAGAATATATTTAGAATATTATTTGAATTTTTAAGGATTAATCTACAAAAGTTAAGAATTATATTAATTACAAATTTAGTGTGTCAGTTTTCATAAAAAGCAAATTTTGAATGAATAGAAGTGACATTACTTGATACTGGAGTTCACAGTTGCATTACAATGTCCTAGTTTCTTTAGTAGGGAAGTAAGCTGATTGCCTCTCGTCCCAGATTTGCTGCATGTAAAGAATTTTGAGCCTAAATGATACTTCTGATCAAAATTCTAAAATCTTTCATCACCCTATTTTATTATTTTCTTTCACTATTGGGTGGCATTCTGTTATTTGTAATAGGTCATTGATGTGCATGGTATGTAATTTTTGATGATATCTTCCTCATAAAAAATGTTGTACCCTGATAAACAATATTGTTACTAGACTTACAATAGCTTCTAGACACATATAAATAATTATAAATTAGTCATTTACATTTTCAAACAGCATAATATCAGGAGCACAAAGCTAATCATTTTTTAAAATGTTGGGATGGAAATTAATAATAGAAATTATTGACACAACAGCGAAAGGCAACTAGTAGTTTTAATTAGTTTATTGGAAGCAGGAAAATTATATCTGAAGATGTCAGGATTTGTCTTAAATATCAATTGTTGTAAGGAAACAACACAATCATTGTTCCAAGTGAGTTTTTCAATTTGTTGGTGCCAAATTATTTAGTGTTTCAGTTAAAAGAAATTGTTTTCCACATAACATGTCTTTTCATAGATCATCTGCTACTGATAGAATTTCGAGCTGAATTTGTACTAGTGTTTTATCATTACTTATTTATTTTAAATACATGTAAAGAAATATGTGTATGTAAACATATTGTTTTCTTTCAGGAAATAGATGTTGGACTTGCTAATGGAGTCAGAGCTATGAATTTGACTCATACAGGTGAACTTGGATATGTTCTTTACGTTCCTAATGAGGTATGTTTTATTTGTAACACATAATTGTAAATATTTTATTATAATAGTATTATTAGGCAGCCTACTGGGGAAGAAACCCTAAAAGCGTTTCTGGGTATCTAATGTTACCATAGATACATCTCACATGGTCAGCAGCTGCATAGTTTCTTCCAATTTCTTTGCATATTGAATATCTAATATTTAAAAGACAATGTTTGTTTGTTGTTCATTGGTCTATATTTAATGCACTGGCTTACCATTCACCCTATTGTGATAAAACTGTGTCAATTTATTGCTTGCACTTCCAGGAAGAATATAGGCATAGTACGATGGGAATACCTGTGCACATAGACGCGTGTTGATAATAATTTTATAAAGACTCAAGCGCTCTGAACAGGGAGCTCTACGTAACGGCGCTTGACGCAACCCATTGCACACTGAAGTACGATTATAAAAACGTCTTCATTGTGTATTCTGTCTCAGCGATTGTAAATTTTCTCCCAACAGAGACAGAGGAAGTCAGATGCAGAGAGAGAAACAAACTGAAACAGGGTCAGAGGGGGAGAGAGAGAGAGGGGGTGGGAGGGAGGAGGGAGGAGGGAGGGAGGGGTGCGTACGTATGTGGGTGAGTGTGTGTGTGTGTGTGTCTTTTATGTATTGAAATTTTCGCAGAGCATAGCGTAAAATGTTATTAACAATCACGTGACCAGTAGCATGTGAAGTGTAATACAGTGCAATAAGGAAGCATTGCCGAGTCCACTAGTTAGTAATATACATAAAGGACAAATTAGTTTTCGATAGTTTCTTTAAATGAATTAATTTCCATGTAAATGCTCACCAATTCATTTTAAATATATTGTCATTTTAATAAAATTGGGCTGAGAGATTGAGATATTATTTGATAGAGAAGGAGTCTGTATATTCCGTGTGGATTCAAGAACAGACAACATATCGTAATAATTCATTTATATACTATAGCAGGGGCAGTTTGTTTCACAAAAACAAAGGTACCTTATTACATTTTCAAACAAGAGATGCACCATAATTTACACCTCAATTGTAAATTAGAGATTTTTAATAAAATGTACATAGACATCTTATTTTCTTCGTCTTTATTTTGCATAACCTACCTTGAGACACACGTAAAGTCTTAGGATTTGTGCATATTGTCACTGGATCATGAAACTCTGATGCTCGTCATAGATTTCCTTAGTTGAATGGGGACCATGTGAGGATGGGGGATCAGCCCATTCTTAGACCCTAAAGATGGGGAGGAAGGATCAAGTGTGTCAATGATCCATTGTTAATGATACTGCTGCTGCACCACATGGAATTAAATGGACATAACTATGGAAACAAACAATTAGAGCTGGTGGCCTCTAGAATTTTCAACATGGCAGAGGTTACTTTTACTAGACAATGAACTAGTCACTCATCATTTGGGTTTGAACCAAATCTTCCAGTCTACAAAGCTTCAGTTGCAGTCTTGTAACTACATTTGCTATCTTAGCCAATAAATAAACTATGCGTAGCAATTTTATGCTTTTGATTGCAAACGTAAACTTCAGAGGAAAAGGTCTAGAATGATTGATGATTATTAAATTTGTGAAAACTGTGTTCATGTCACTCCTTGTGCTTTTTCTCTCTTTTTACTTTCTTTCTTTCAAAGATGAGTATGTATATAAGAGATTTTGTCATTTTTATTTGCCTTGTCTTTATTTTAACAGTTTGCTCTCCATGTATATTCATGTCTGATTGAAGCTGGTAAAAAGTATGAACTCAAGCATGCTGGCTATTATGCAATGAGGGCTCTGCGAGTGGAGCGGTTCTATGCCTTTTGGGGCCAGGACTTGGATACAACAACAACACCTTTAGAATGTGGCAGATCTTGGCGTGTGAAATTTGATGTATGTATTCATTAATGTACTTATCTTGTGAACAAATTGTGTTTTACATTATCTTTGTTATTTTCATTGTAGAAAGATATTGATTTCATTGGAAGAAAAGCTTTACTGAAGCAGCGAGAAGAAGGTGTACACAGAATGTATATTCAGTTGTTACTTCAAGATCATGATCATGAAATTGATTTGTGGCCATGGGGAGGTGAACCAATATACCGTAATGGTAAACAAGTTGGCATTACCACCACAACTGGATATGGCTTTACCTTTAAAAAACAGGTGCTGTACTTAAACAGGAAATATATGTCATGATTTTTGTTGAGCCTTAATGTGCATATTTGAATTGCATATTTTGTATTTTTTCTTTTTCTTTGTTATTTTTTATCTATTATCTTAGCAATAACATCGGTTGGGGTGATACATGTGCACCCTCCCTCCCCCACACACACACACTCACACATATACACCTCCTCCTCAATATTTTTTAGTATATGAATTTTATTGAAAAGGAGCCCTTGGTAAAGTATGCCTATCTCTTGAATTGTTCCCGCGCCCAATACTTTGATGCTGGTGATACTCATGAGCAATAATAACTAAATAAACAATCACATCTAATGAGGTTACCAAGTAAATCTCATTTTTCTTCTAGGCAGTAATGAGCAGTGTTTGTTCACATAGAGCTATTCCCAACATAGCAAATTTTTCAGGAAACAAAAAAATAATGTAATAAACAGTACATGGAATTCAACAGTATATTTTTTTGTATATTGCAGCAGAAATATGTCCTCATTTTAATGATACCTACTTCATGTGTGCTGTTTTATTTATATTATGACAGATGTCGAAAAAATAAAAATGGAAATAGCTCACTTTGTTTGGACTCATTTTAAAATGTAGAAGTTACAACAATTAAATAATTAAACAAACACATTTAAAACTCAAATTCTGCCAATTTTCTTTTATTTTTCCCAAATTCTTTTTGAAGTAATTTTTTCACCTTATGTATATTTATGTAATCCCTTTGCCTGAATGGGAAATGGATTAATTTATTCAGTTAAATAAATAAGAGTAGTACGATTGCCAAAAATAATATTAATAATTTAACACACAGGTATCCTTTTTTATTTTTGACAATGAATGAACAGGTTTTCAAACAAAGGTTTTGTTGCCCCTATTATGCTAGAACACAATATTTTGTGTAATACTCATATATTTATGATTGAAAAATAAAAAAATTAAAATTTTGTAAATTGTTTAGAATAAAAACATTAAAAATAAAGTTACACAGTAATCAGAGAGAAATTTATAGAAAAAATAAATGTATGAGTAAAAAGTTTCTAGTAAGTACAAAATTGTTACATAGATGGGAGAGAACTTACCAGAACATGATAAAAAAAGTCAATTTTTTTTAAAAAAAATTAAAGGACATTATAAAAAATTAAAAGAATAAATCCAAAAAATACAAATTCTTTTTGAAAATACATCCATCCTCGCTTCAAGATGAAGGAGGCAAGTACACACAAAGGAGGACTGATGATGTGTATTTAACATATTACCCAACTTGTCATGTTCCAGCATTATTATATGGACAATAATACATTTTTTTGAAAACATTTTTAAGGATAATCAAAATAGAAAAATATATCTGTGTTAAATTGTTCAGGAAATAGACTAATGCTCGGTAGGTGTCTTCAACCTCTTAAAAAAATTTATACTGGGAGACCTTTAGAACGGATATTTTGTTATTGACCATGAGGGAGGGGATACCGAATCCAAGGCAATGCAATATATGTAATTAAACTAACTAGGAATAGAATTGCATATGAAGGAGGGTTTTGAATGAGTATTTAACATATTAATTTTGTATTTAATCAGTAAGTATTTTTCAACAGAACTGAACATGACTTTCAATATTCTTCAAGTACTGCCATTGGGTGAGGGAGAAAAGCAATTTTTAAATGTATATGCTTCATTTACAATTTTCTTTTCACAGATTTGTTTAGGATTCGTTCAGAACTTTGATGAAAAAGGACAACTTCAGCCTGTTACACATGATTTTATTCTGTCTGGAGATTATGAAGTTGATATTGCTGGGCTCAGATATCAAGCAAAAGTCAATATTCATTCACCTAACCTGCCCACTCAATATCCAGACAAAGAAAGAGGAGCCTACAGAGCTACTAGAGATGCATCTGCATGAGATCATCAATATCATCCCTGTTTTTTCTAGAGAGTAAAATTATTAACAAGTTAATTGTAAATATTAAGTTTTTAATTAAGAAATAATTTGAATAGTAATATTGAATTCACAATACTTTGTTCAATGAGTTTTAAGTACTTTACTAAAAACTGTCTAAAAATTGGTTACACGTTCATCAAAGCTGTTTCCTATAACATCATGGTCTTCCATTTTGTATTGGGCAACTACTTAGAGCAACTAACGCAACTTTGTTCTATCTAGGAATGAAATTAATTTCTCATTCAAATGTAAATAATGTGAATAATTAAAATAATTTTTCATACATTTTCAATGTAAATGTAGTATGTCTTCCTTGGAAGACAAGTTTCATTGAGAAGGATATTGCTAAACTTAAATAACAGTTGTCATTAGCAATTATTAGTGTAATACTTGTACATATGTAAAAAAAAAGTATCATGAAACAAATTAAAAATGTGTGATTAAAATGTATTTTTCCATTCATTCAGTTATTTTCAATGATATTTTTTCCAATACCTTTGTCTCTACTTTCAGTACTGTAATCACAATTCAGGAACTACTTACAGTACTGTAAGAACAGTTTTCAAACATTGATCTTAAATATGCGTATTTACAGGTCCCGTTAGATGAACAGCCATAGAAAGTGCTAGCAGATAACACTTTGTTAGACCCATTTAGTTTTAACAGGATACTATTTGGTGTCAACTCTGCAGCAGTAATATTCCAGAGTAGTTTAAAAGAATTCACTTCACATTTAAATGGCTACTGTAGTTTAAATAACTACAGTAGCCATTTAAATGTGAAGTGAAGTGAATTATAGGAGCAAGTCGCACCTTTAGGGAACATTGAGAAAATTTGATTAAATTATTTAAAGCGTTGCAGGATAACGTATTAAAAATTAATGTTGAGAAATGTGAATTCTCATTCAATGCAGCAAGTAATTTTTATAGAACACAAACGAGATAAATTGGGAATTATCCACAACAGCATGAAGAAGCAATCTCACACATTCCAGCTCCCACAGTCATTAAACAATAGCAAGCATTGGTCGGGAAAATCAATTAATATATAAAATTCATCCAGAATTTTTCCGCTGTGGCAACTCATTTAAATGCCGTCTGGAAGAAATGGATTAAATTGTAATGGATGCAAAAATGCCAGAATGCTTTAGACATATTAAGTAAGTCCATGATACGAAGCTCAGCCATGCTTTGCCGGGGAGAGTCACAACTGTGGCAGTGGCCATCACAGACTATGGCCTAGGGGCAATGCTGTTACTAAATGGTGTAAAAAGAGTGGAGAGGCCGACAGCTTTCGCATCGATGTCACTTAATAAGCACGAAAAAAAACTTCTCAAATTGAAAAAGAGGCGTGGGCAATCATTTGTAGTAGGAAAATTGAATTTTTGCTCTAAATTTCACACCATTATGAACCATAAGCCTCTCGTGCAATTGTTTCATGCAGGGAAGAAGGATCTGACGTGCTCGGCGAAGAAATTGCAGTACTCAGCGTTGTCCCTGACAGATTGCAAATGCTGGAAACATTTCAGAAGAACGCAACATGCGGATGCACTATCTAGTATGCAACGTGAAAAAAGATATAGACTTAGATAAATCAGGGGATAGGTGTCTACAATTAGACATAGAGGAGTTTTCCATTGGACGCGCACATCTTCGCGGAGGAAACGGTCATGGATCCAGAGCTAAGAGTCATCAGGGACTTCACTATAGAGTAGTAATCCCCAAGAGAGTAAGGTAGCAGGTAATAAATAATCGACCAATATTTTAACAGACACATTTGCATTGAATACAAGATTTTGAATGGTGAATGTTACAACGTTTCGGCCCTTAGACATGTTGTGGTCATCATCAGGAAAAAGAAGAGACCTTGTAATCTACATGAACAATTATTTGTAAGAAAACTATAAGAGTTACATTCATAAACAAGACGTGTTGGCTGTCTAAATGACTATACAGACGTTAACCGTGTATGAAGGTAGCAGGTGTTGAAAATGAACCATGATGGGCAGTGGGGTGATGGTTGGAACAAAGTCTGCGCGTTGTCATTGTTATTGATAACGAATGAGTAATAATAATAATACTGAAGAAAAGCAAACGTGTAACATGTCCACCTTTGCTCCAAGAAGAGAAAATCATAATAAATGGTAAATATACAACTATGGCGCAATTCATAATTATCGAAATTTATTATTTTTATGAAAGGACGTTATGGTGATTATCATTTACAACATATTTTGAAGTCTTAAATCTTGGCCACGGTATATCCCCTAGGGGAAAGTTGTTCAAAATGGGCAAAACACACAGGTCGTGGAGCTTCACGATCGGAGGCAGCTGTGATACATTTTACGGCGTTGCTACTAGTTTGGTAAAAAGTTCCCAACAGTGATTGCTCAAACAAATATTGTAGAATACAAAATAATAAGAACAGAATATAAAAAGTGTAAAAATCAAAATAGGTACCAATAAGCTCTTAACGATTGAATAGGCAATTATCTCTAATATACGCACTATAAAACCCTCACAAAAGCCATATCTTATGTGAACATGGATAATGAAGTAAGCTACCTGAAAATACATTCAAAGGAATAAAATAGGCAAATAGGTCATTGTTCGAGCTCATCTGATAAGGGATACTTAGGGTGATCAAATGAGGTACTACAGCACTAGAGGGCCTATCAAACAGTTTGAGAGGAGTTGTGGATGCGTGTGCGTCTAATGGTTTATTTTACGAAAGTTTCAATGTTTTTGTTGAAAACCGCAACGATTTTATCTACCTACTGTATTGAATCTTACAAGTACTTTTTGTCATTCACTTGTGGTGAGTAAAGGATTGATTCTCCTAGTTTCAAGGTACATTTTAAATATAATTTATTACGTTATCTTAAATGGTTGTAAATATACGCCATGTTTGCTAGCAGTCGTCAAGGTCTCCCCAAATGGGGACATTGAAGCAGCCCAAAACGGGACGTCTCCATTTTGAACGATAGAGTAGAACATGTAAAAATTGAAAAAGAAGAAAAACAAATAATAAACAGACAAAAACTCTGTTAAAATATCAAGTGAACATGTCGAGCTCAAAAAGGAAAAAAGTAAAGCTGAGGAAACCGTGATTAGTTCCGAAGAAGAAAATGCTGACGATACTTTTGTCTTCTGCAACGAGCTTTAGATAAATTCCAAGGAGATCGAAATCTGGATAGAGTATAGTACCTGACAAGATTGGACATATGAAGCCTAATCCAATGCTGAAGAAGAGATGACACCTTTATTAGTCACTTTTGTGCGTGATTTAGGCCCTATTTTGTTTCTGTGCCAACTTGAAAATTAATAAAAAGCAAATTTACAAAGTGAGAAGATGTGTATTCTTATGTTTCGTACTTGCCAGAGTTTACTTAAATTGATTATTGACTTTCTAAATGTCTTGTAGTGAATGTCTTGAATATTTGATCATTTTAATGTGAGTACCCCATTTCCCATTTTATCCAACCGGTTGTCCAAAACGGGGGCATTGCACACTATCACGATAACGTAATATTCCATCGAAGTACGTATTTTTGTAAACGCAAAAACAATTTCTTCTGACAGACTGCGTTCTACTTAACATCGAAATGTTTTTTAAACTGTTTTTACCGATAATTTAATTTGTTATGAGTTAAAATATGTTAGCTGCAGTAGTCGACTGCGCAGCATTGAAAGAACCGGCGGAACCTAGTACCGTCGCCTCTCAAAAGAGGGCGACAACAGCAGCAGCCGCCGCGGCGCCGTCACGCGCGACCAGGCACCGAAAAAGGAGGCACCACCCCTATCCGGGGGCTGGCCAGCGGACCCTCAGCCCCAGCGGGCTATGAAGCAGCGCCCCGGCGGACAGAGGGCAGTTGAGCGCCTACCAGCAGTATCGAGTGCGTCAGTGAATTGTGAACAGTGTTGACGGAACAGCAAAGTGTACGGACTCTCTCTCGGACAGATACTTCGGTGCTACGGCTTCTAACTTTGGACATCTCCCTGGGCAACGGCGACTTTGGCATACTCTGGTACATCTTAAGGAAAATTGTTGGATCTGGCTTGTATATGGTTATTCTGCACTGGTGTGAGATCAGAATAAATCTATTTTTTTAAGAAATTACGTTTTTTTGGACACAACATTAGCGACCTCATTTTGGACGACTATCCCATATAGCACCTTTTCCTCACTGCTAAATCGCTCGTATCCATCTCGATCATTTTAGAACATGTTTGCAATGTATACAATTGTCACCATTCCCATCACTTCATAAGGTAAGGTACACCACTGTAGTGTTTTGATTTTGACGTAATTCTTTTAATCTCTGTTAAGCAGAAATAGTCGGAGTGATCTTTGAATTCCCTCCAAATCATAAGGATAGAAAATAGCAAGAGGCGGGTGCCACTTTTCCATGCAGTAAGAAGCCTAGAACACGATAAACAAAAGATATGTGTGAGGGTTGGGGGAGGGTCAGGACCTTGATTGGTCCCCTACTTTAAACTCAAAATAAATTTCATAACACTTTTTCTCTAATGGAGTGAGGTTTCGCCTTTGGGACTGACCAAATACATAACTAAAATTGTTTGGATTAAACAAAATCTAGGCATTTTAACTAATGACAAACTAGCGAGTAATGAAAATAAATAAATGTGTAAATATAAAATACACAATAATTCAGGCACACAAACCATTCTGAATGACGTGTTTACTGGTTCTCTACTCTCACACAACTGGCGTAGTTCATATGAATGAGTTCTTCTCTAGATCGTTTGTACGTGTCTACACATGAACCTGCATAACAGTAGCAATACTTCCATTTGAGTTAGTTCATTTGGTTCCGTCATATTTACAATGCTCGATGATATTTTTCTTGACAATGAGCAAAAAACGTTTGCAAATATTTAAAAAATTAAAATAACAAACTAACTGTGGGTGATGGAAAATTCCCGAATACATCTTTGAAATCCAGATAAAAAACTGCAAATGTTCACCTACTGGTACTCGTGAGACAAAAATCGTTTTGAGCAGTGTTATCAAATACGGGTATCGCCGCAGGAATTTACAAAGTATCGAAAGATGTTACACACGATCCACATGGTGGCGAGCACTATGGGAAAGGACAGCACACCTTACGAGCGTAAGGAACCATTCTTTCGTTTAAAGAAGACATTTTTTAGAAAAATAATATATAAAATGATATAATATGATTTATTTTCTTAAAGACAAAATTACTACTAACAAAGTAAATACTACAATCATTATCATCACTTTCACAATCCCACGATAGATCCTCTTTATTATCATTACTGACTTTTCCACTTTTATAGCACAAGAATTTGGTGGGCAATGATATATCTTTCAACAATTTTTTATTTCCCAATAATTAGACATAGAAACTCATACAGATTTGATAAAGTTGTATTAAACACACATTATACTTTAAATAGTTAAACCTTCTGTCTTT